ATCTCTGCCATCTCCCCTGTGGAGCAAAATTCCAGAAGAGAGGCAAGCAGACATCCTGAATTAGCTATGGCTGCCCAAAGAGGTCACCAAATCCAATTAAGAATCACCTGAGCCTTAAACACATAAAAAAAACCCACAAAAAAACCCATTGCCTGCTGGCTATTTTGCCTCCTCTGTTAAAGGACTAGAGTATATTCTGTCAAAGCACACGTGCTGCCCTAAGAAAAGAACTAAACTACATATTAAATTCCCCTCAGGCAAGTCTTGAAAGTGTCATCTGTTATCATTTGGCAGATCGGTGATGCTTATGCCAGAGAATGACTCAAAGCTCTCACACAAATCAGAACAAATCTAACTTTTAGATGTGCACATTCATCTGCAGCTCCATGATCCTGAGCAGTTGGGACATCATCCTCAGCTCCCAGTGACAAAACCCTCAATGAGAGGAGACATCCATAAGGGTGAATACTTGTGCTTCAGACTGAGAGCTGAAAACACTCAAGCCTCCTAAAGAAATGAAATTATTTCACAACACCAGCCTTCTATATAAAACTACTTGGTGGATCAAGTATCTCCCAGAGCATTGTTTCCTAAACTCCTCTTCATTCCTTTCCTCCCCTCCACTCCTCTGAAGGCATTTCCCAATCCTTTACAGCCCTTGGAGGTTTGGGGGTTCATGACCTCGCTGGAAACAATCAGCCTGTGAGGAATTTTCCAGATTCTGAAGGGCAGCAGTGTTTTCCTCATGGTTCCCACATTACCTGGATCCAGCAGCAACTTTGGTGCCATCAGGACTAAAGGTGACGTGGTTGACGTGCATGGTGAAACGAGTGAGGATCCCATCAGGAGCTCCCTCGGGAAACGTGTGGATCTGGACAGTGTTGTTGGAGACTGCTGTGATCAGCCTTCCATTCTGACAACAAAATCAGTCACAAAATCTGTCAGCAAAAACACATTCATGCCACAGAGACAAAAATCCCACTCTGATGTCACAAATATTCTGGCAGGTTAACTTTATTCATTCCAAAAAGGTCTGACAGCAACAGCAGTAAGGGAAATACTCTTTAACTACTTTTTTTCCACCTAAAAATACAGACAAGCATAGTAACTTTAATAATTTATCTCTTTAACCAAACTAACTTGCATGCTATTTAGATTCATCTGCTGCAGCATCAGGAGAGGGCACCCTTGGACTGGAATTCTCAATTAAATGCCACCAGAGAAAGATGAGAAGTTCATGAGCTATAGCTCAGTTCTTTGCAGAAAACAAAAGGCAGATGTTTACTAAAAATTAATCCAGATTAAAAAAAGTGCAAAACAAAAGAAATGGTTATCACACACTTGGAAAATAATACCTCTTTGAGCGACAATACTATTCCTTAGTTGCACACAGCAGTAAATCTTTAAAATAAATATAAAGAAACGCCTTATTTTCTTTTTTATTATGTGTATTTTTTGGGGGGAGGCTGTATTTTCATGAGGTTTTTTGTTAAGATGTATAAAATTATAGTAAAAAACCTGAAGGCAAAGGAAGCAGCAGTCAGTAATGAATAACCTAAAAAAATAAGAGATTAGATTTACAACATCAACATCTCAGATCAGTCCCTTGTGGCATTTCCCTAATGAAGTGTAATTTTTGGAAAAGGATTTCCTGACATTCAAGTCTCCCACTGTTTAAAAATAAAACATCCCTCAAAACTAGGAGCACCTTTTTCAGTTTTTCCCAGGATTTTTTCCTCATCTATTCTTTAATAGTTTTAGCAATTTCTGCCTCTGCAACTGATTTGCTAAGAGAACCCATTTCAAGTCACCTCACTTGGTTTGTGAAACAATAACTGATGTGATGGAAATCTACAGCAAAAGACTCTAAAAATCAATGATGAAAATAGATTTTACAGGTTTGGGGTTTTTTTTTTCTATTTTGAAAATAGATTTTTTACAGGCATTGAGGAATAGATACCTACATGCATAGAGGTAATGTTAAAAAGGACATAAGAAAGAGGATTCATTTAAGGCAGTAATTCTGAATAAGATCTCAAATGATAACTCGTATAATGCAATATGAATATTTTAATACTCATTTATTTCCTCTTTCATACTACTCTACAAAACCACTGGTAATCGAAAAACAATTTCAGAATTTCTCTTTATCAGAGAAATAGGTTAAATACACAGTATTTGTGGAACTGATGTTGGCTTCTGGAAGTCTTCTCTTCTAAAAGTGCCACAAAGACATTATTTTAGACCCACTATGATTAATGTAATATTAAAAAAATTGGACATGAAGGAAATGATGTCAATTCTCAAGCTAAACACATGAACATGAATAGCAAAAATAATTATTTTCTATCATATAAATCCTCTTCTCACTTTGAGGACACAGGGCCAGAGGCATCTTTAGGCCAAACAACAATTTTGGGAGTGAAACATCAACCAATTACTAAAAAAAAACGTGTTACCACACCATTACTCACTTTGTAAAAGCAAGTTTTGATTAATACAGATTATGAGTCCTTGGGACTTTAACACAGGCCCACATAAAACAACCTCCTGGCTTTCTTCCTAATAATTGATGATCACACCCTATGCTGGGAAAATTCTTGCAACCCACATGGTGAGAAAACACTGAAACAGCCAAAAAAGTTCACTGCATAATTAACTTAATCTGCTGGGTTTGTTTCTCAGAAAGGAGATCAAAGTCAGAAATTAATATAACTGAACCTGAAGGAAGAGAGGGGAAAAAAACCATTACAAAAGTTTTGTATAAGTGATAATTCCTCTACAACTGTGTGTGGGGTAGAATGAGTTGTCAGAGGTAATTCTTGTTTATTGTTACCCACAGAACAATCCCTGAGCTGGCAAACCCACAACCTGCAGGAAGACGCACAACTGTGAGGAGCTGTGTTAACAACCCTACCTTCAGAGCACATGAGAAGGCCTTTTCTCCCACATTAATGGACTTTGGATCATCGTCATCCAGGTTTTCCCAAATCCTAACATCTCCATCACTGCCACAAGTCACAATGCAGCTGTGGAAAGACACAGGATTTGTCAACATCCAGGAATGTGCTTGGTTGTAATGCCAAACGAGGCTTTTTGTGGTTTCAAGGGTTTGTTACCAGACAATCTCTTATGAACAGTCTTTGCAATGATAAATGAACTTAAAAAAAGAATAAAATAATATGGACTTTAACCACAACCACTATATAAGGTTATGTTATATATCCTTTGAGTTTGTTTTGAGAGGGCTTGGGCTTTTTTCAGTTCACCTTTTAGTCTATAAAAAGGTAATACTAAATATATAGTTTGTATTTATACATTCAAGAACTAGCACAAGGAAGAGATGAAAAAATAGCAATCCCAATATTGCATTCCTTCAACTATATTTTTAATTTCTTAGTGCATACATAAACGTATTTACTCCCACACTACACTGATTTCTGCTAAAATCAATGAAGTCACTCTCATAAAATGTGCATAGAGTTTTTCTATATATATAAGAGTTACTATATATATATATATATGTACATGGGGATATATATATGCTTACATTTAAGTTATAAATCAATCACTTTTAAACTCAGAGCACCTAAATATGTCACACAGCCAGTTCTCAGCACAGGCAAAACACCAAGGATTTCTTGAACCATGCCAGGCCATAAATCCATCCCAGTATCTCCCACAGCAGTGGCTGATATAGAAACTTACAGAATCATTAAGATTGAAAAAGCCCTCTAAGTTCATCAAGTCCAACCATTCCCCCAGCACTGCTGAGGTCACCACCAATCCGTGTCCCCAAGTGCCACATCCATAAAGCTTTTAAACCCCTCCAGGGATGGGGACTCCACCACTGCCCTGGGCAGCTTGTGACAATGACTGACACTCTTTTAGTGATGAAATTTTTCCTAATACCAAACTCCTGGGGAAGCTTGAGAGAGGAACAAGCCCGTTCATCCCTCGGTCTTGAGGAATGGGGCTGTTACCTGCCGGTGTCATTGAAGAAGACATCGGTGTGTCCCTCGGTGTGGCCATACCGCATGGGCTTCTGCGTCGATGGCATCTCTGCTCCCACCTGTCTGCTTAGGGAGAGGAAAAAAGAGGAGAAATAACACCAGTTAAAAGGAAACACCTCAGGAAGAGCATCAGATTATGGGGACAAAGTGAGAGCTGCTGGGACACTCACCCATTCAACCACCTGCAGGGAATGGGGACACTAAGGGGACACGAGATGGGAGATAAGGACATTATGAGGACGAGGACACTGTGAGGATGAGGACATGGGAATGGGGACATTGCTGGGAGAGGAGCACGGAGATGGGAGAGGAGGACACTCAAGAGGTTATGGGGACTGGAGATGGGGACACTGTAGGGATAGTGACACCGCAGGGATGGAGACACGGGGTTAGGGGGAGCCACAGGGATGGGGGCATTGGGAAAAAAGACGTGGGGATAGGAGATGGGGACACTGGATATTTTGGGAATGAGGGACATGCTGATGAGGTCAGTGGGTAGAAGATGGGGACACTGTAGAGACGGTGACATTTCAGGGATGGGGATATAGCAGGGATGGGAGATGTGAGCACCGTGGGGATGGGGACACGGGAATAGGGAGCGTGGGGATGGGGACATCGCGGGGATGTAGGCCCGGGTTCCCGAGGCCCGGAGGGGCCTGGAACGCCGGGGCCTCTCTCTCGGCCGTCCATCCAGGCCAGACCTCGGCAGGGACCCCCATCCCCCGCGGCTGCCCCCGCTCCGGAAAGGTCCCGCACGGCCCGCGGGGTCTCGGTGGGGCCGCAGCCGCCATCCCTCTGCCTCCCTCCCGCCGCTCACCACCGGCCCCGCCGCCCGTTCGAGCCTTCCCGCGCCCGCCGCCGCCGCTCCGCCCTCAGCGGGGCTGGGCCCGAGCCGTCAGCGCCGGGGCGGGGCCGGGGCGGGCCGGCCCCGGCAGCGGGGATGGCGGCGGCCGGCTGAGGGGTCGCGGCTGCCAGCGCCGAGCCCGCCGAGCCGCCGGCACCCGGCTGCGGACAGAGCCGGCGGAGAGCGCCGGCCCCGCGGGCAGCGCCCGCAGCACCAGCGTGAGTTGGGGCCGGGACGGCGCTGAGGGGCGGCAGGCGGGGGGCGAGCGGCGGTGCTGGGGAAATCGGGCTCTCCTGTCACCGGGGGGCTCGGGGTCTGCGCCCCCGTCAGTCACCGGGGGCTCGGACCGCGCTCTGCTGTCACCGCTGCGGGGTTGGCCTGCGGTCACCGCGGTGCTCGGACCGGGCTCAGCGCTCCGTCCCCCCGGGGGGGGCTCGGTCCAGGGTCTGCTGTCACCGGGGTAACTCGGCCCGGGGGCTGAGCCTTGTCACCGGGGGAGGCTCGGTCCAGGGTCTGCCGTCACCGCGGGGCTTGGCCCGGGGTCTGAGCTGCTGTCGGGGACCGAAGGGCTCAGGGTCTCCTGTCACCGAGGGCGTTCGGTCCGGGGTCTCCTGTCACCGGGGGGATTCGGTCCAAGGTCTTTGCTCTGTCACCGCGGGGCTCCGTTTGCTTCTCCTCTGAAAATCCCTGTTCCCGACATATGTATCCTAACACAAACAGGGCACATATATTCCCTGTTTATCCTTCTGTACATGGATTTAATGGCAGCTCCTCAAGGGGCACAGGAACGGCAGGGAAAGCCCAAATGAGGATCTGTGTCCTTCACCCCCCTTGGACATCACCCCCATAACAGCGGGGGCTGCTCTCACCCAGCCGCAGGATCAAACCCCTTTGGAGATCCTGCTGGTCATTATGGAATTACTCTGGAATTCCAGCCATCCTGATGCGTGTGCGAGGTGGAGTTGACAGCAGTGGTAGTCAGGCTGGTAGCGATTGCACTGCAAAAATCATTAAGCTTTTTTCTTTTTCTTTTTCTTTTTTTTTCTCTTTTTGGCTGAAAAATAGGGAGAAAGCATCCTGACTGACCTCTTGAAGGATTAAAAAAAAAATGCTAGAATTGAACATACCTGAAATAAAGAGGAAAAACGGCGTTATCTGTTTTCCCTTTATGTTGCCTTAATGATCTGGCCCAGTTTATTCCTGTTTTTAAGAAAAAATTGCTTCCAGGCAAAACCCTTTTATCTTCAGTTTTGCTCTGCAGCGGGGTTATTGGTGGTTGGGGTGAGCAGAGTGATTTATTCACATTGGAAATGTGTTTCTCTCTAACACTCACATTGCTGGTAGTTTCATGAATGAATAAGTGACAGGATTACAAAGCAGGCACACTTCTTTAAAAAAAATATAGAAATATGGCCAGATTTCATTATTAAACCTCGTGGAAGCTGTGTAGAGACATGTTTTCCATGGGTGTATCCTACATATTTCAGTAAATCGTGATTTCTGGCGAGGATAATGTGTTCTAGAGAAATGATTCGGAGCTGAACTGCTTATCAGATGAGTGGGAAGACCAAGCTATTCCTGCTGCAAGCCTCTGCCTGGGATGGAGACAAATGCCTGTCAAATGTGTTTATTTTTCTTAATCACTTTTATTTTCGGAGGCCCTGATAGAAACTGCACTTAAAATGTTTTGCAATATAAAAGCCATTTTACATTCGGTTCTGTGTAAAAACTGATTTCCTTGTCTGGAGGTGCTGCCTGCTGGGATAACTCTTTGAACAGCACAGGAAAAGTGGGGGGAGGTTTTTCAGGGAGGTGTCAGGATCCCGTGGTCACTTGTCCAAGGGACTGCAGGTGCTGTGGTTTTGTCACATCTCAAGTGACACGGCACCAAATGCAAAGTTATACTTTAAATCCGGTTGGGAACTCGGGCTGCTGCTGGCTTGATTAATAGGTGTGAGTGGCTGGGAGCGGGGCGGGAGCCGGGAATCGCTGCCCTGCTCGGTTTCTGGGTGGAGCACGGAGTGTTGGTCATGGACCATGAAGCTTTCACTGATTTAGTGCTGGAGAGGCTGCTGGGGTTTGCCAAGCTCTGCCTGCATCTCTCCTGCCACACATGAGCAGAGCTTCATTAAGGCAGGAGATACGAGCAACCCTCACCTCTGGCACCTGCTGCCAGCTCAGTTCCACCTCCTGGGAGTGAATAAAATATCCCCCGTACTGGGGTTAGCTGGGCATGCCCCCCCTCTTCCTACAGTTCTGGGGATAAAGCAAGGCTGTTTCCGAGGAAGAAATATTTAGGATGCAAATAGTACCTTTAAAAAGTCTTTTTCTTTTGTGTATATGTGTAATAATTGCTTTAATTTGCTGTTAAAGCCTCTGGAGTCAAGCTTAGGTATTTTTAGGTGGTATCATAAATCAAAGTAAAGCCAAAACTGAAGAAAAATAATTTAAGACAGAGGACTTGAGATTTATTGTTATCCTTAGTAGGTTGGGAAGGTCAGGTTTTAAAATGTGGTCTTGTGGCCAAAATCTAATCAGGTGAAATTATTGAAAGCGGCTTGTGACCAGTGAGATTTTGTTTTAAAATAACTTTTATGTAAGTTATGGAAGAAAAAGTACTTCAGTTTATTGCAGCTTGCTGTTTTCTCTCAGGATTTTATCAGCTCTACAAAATCAACTTCCATAACAATTCCAAAATTGATTCATTGTTCTTTGAGAGCCTTCTTTTGTTGTTTAATTAGAGGCACAATACAGCGACGTGTGCTTGGACAGAAAACTTTCCAAGTGCTTCCTGCACTAGGAGGGTTGTGCAGCATGGGAGCACCAGAGAGGTGGTGAGACCTTCATCCTGGGAGTTTTCAGGACATGGCCATGGCTCCCCTGAGCCCACGCTGGCAGCAATCCCAGTCCAAGTGGGAGGTCGGGCTGGAGACCCCCCACCATCTGTTCCTTCTTTATACAGAAAGGGAAGCAGCTTGAAGAGGACTGTTGGGCTAGAGGCAAGGATCCAGCAGCTCAGGACATAAGTATCAGGTTAAAGCAGTTCAGTATTCAAGTACTTATTGAATAAATAAGTACATTTATGGTTTTGATTCTCCTATTGGCATTATTGATTAGACATATGGTGAGGCTGTCTCTGTCTTATCACAGCTGTGGGTTGCAGCCTACCCCTGGCTAGGAGGGAATAGTGTTATCCCTCCAAACAGCAGCTGGATATTGTTTTCAGTCTGGGCTTGAAGTCTCAGGTTTGAGGCATCAGCTTGTGAAAGAAAAAGCACCTTGTCTGCAGACAAGAGAGAGGAACCTCTGAAGGAGGGAGCTGGGCACAGCACAAAACCAACAGCAAAAGCCACCCAGCTTTCTGCCTGTCCTTAGGGACTGTAGCTGTGACAGTGTTGAGTAACCTTGGACTAACAGCCGGGTCCTGTGGCCCAAAGTGAACTCTGCTCATCTCCCCATGTGTCTTTATCTTTGCTGTTTCCGTAGGCAAAAGGGTTTCCAGCATAAGGGTTTTGTAAAATCTGCCGTCATCAGAAGTGCCTGAGGTGTCCCCGTGCAAGACGAGGCTTTTCAGGCAGGACACTCATTATTCCTCCCAAAAGGAGCTCAGGCCTGATGCGTGTGAGCTGCACAGCACTGGACTCCTCCATTTAACCTTCCCCTCTAGGGAAAAGAACACTTTGTGTTCCCTCTCTTTTATCCTTGCCCTCCTGTCCTGCTCTTCCAGCAGCGCTCCAGCCATTAATGGAAGTACGTGGCATTTCCCTTGGATGCTGCTTTAGATGGATGGCCCGAAGTGGTAATAGAGCACTGAATGCCTTCCCTGTCCTTTCTGCCTTTTTCCTTTCTGACATTTTAATTATTTTTGGTCCCTGTTTTATTGGTGGGGCTGTGATTTACTGATCCAGAAGGGTGTGAAGGTGTGATCCCTCGCTGTAATGCCAAGCAGTGGGATTTGGGAGGCAGCTCACAGACGTTTGTAACACACAGTCAGGTTCAAACCTGGCTTTAGTAGGATGACATCCCTTTTTTCCTTCATTTGTTCCCTGCTCTTTTCACAGCTCTAGTGTTCTGTCTGATTAGCAATTCCTGCTCTGACGTGGCAGAAGCAGCGCCTGGGCTCCAGCAGCCCTTCAAACCCCAGGGAAGCAGCTCTGGCTAATGGTGCGTGGCTTTGCAGCATCACGTGCTGCTTCCCCAGCTTCTCTTTCAGGGTTCAGGTACCACTAATGATTCATGACAGGAGAGAGGTACAAAGGAGAAGGTGGTGTTACAGCTCAATACAACAGCAGCCCAGAAATTCCATAAAACCCAAGCTTCTTTCAGTTGGAAGGCTGAAGCTGGGAGATAACAGGCACTTCTGGGTTTTGTATGTTTTGCAGTTTTTTAATTAAAAGCCTGTATTCTGCATGTTCTTATTCCTTATATGGGCTGGATGAGCAGAATGAGATAATTGAAGGTTTCAAAAGCAATTACAAACTGTCGTATCCTAATTTTTAAGTACTTGACTTTGCAACCTCAGTGATATCTCTCTGTCCAATTAAAAATCCCATATATATAGACAATTAATGTATTTTATCACAGGATGAATCTAAAAACTTTTTGTCTTCAGTGACTTCAGATTATCACCAGGGTAAATGAGATTGCTTTTTTCCCTCTTTTTTTTGAATTGTGGAGAAAATTCAGTGCTCCACTCTAGGTATTTCTGGATGAAAAATATCAACGTTCCAAAAGCAATCAATGAATCCTGGTCTAAATAAAGATCTTTTGAGTCTCACATGCAAGTGTTTTCTTTCTCCTGTCTTCATTGTGTCTTGCCATGCTTTCACTGGAAAGCAATTTGCAAAACCCTGAGAGAAGAAAAATAAATCTTTAGTGTAATCTTTGATTTGTAATGGCTGAAATATGGACCCTTTCCTGTGATTACTCTTGGTACCAGTGAGATGATATTCATCTGCATTGCTCTAATGCCATTTTTCTTCCCAACATTTTTCCAACATTGAACCTATCTTACTTTCATTCTAAATTTCTGCATCTCCTCCCTTCCCCTGCCTTTTTCTTTCCCTCACATCTCTCAGGTCTGTGGGTTTTAAATAAGGAATGCCATGTGAAAAATTCCTGGGTGAAAGTTCCATCTGGGATGCATTTGGCCCACAGATTGCATGTGAGCCTTTTGGCAAGGCTGTCTTGTTCTTTTACTGAAAGCAGAGGCTCGAACTCAGCCTGCGCAGCCCCGGGGGACTGCAGAGAGGTTGTGTCATGCTGGCTAATCCTGATGATGAGAATGGATTGAATGGAGAGAGGAAGTGGATGCCCTTTTCTTTTCCTGCTTAGTCTTTACCATGTCAATTAGCTGTAAAAAAATCCAAAACCCCAAAACAACACGACAGAAAAACCCACAGCCAAAAAAATACCCCAGTGCAACAGAGGAGCTGTGCATGGTTTTGGTGCAGAAGCATCACAGAATCATAGAATATCCTGATTATGATAAGTGATGGGAAATATTTCTACATCCTGCCATGCCTCAGGGGGTATAGCATCCATACCATATTGCTATCTACATATCTTGAAAAAATCCTGCTCCACTTTCAACTGAGTAATCAAAAGAGGATTTTTTTCATCTTTTTTTCAAAGTGCAGCAGTCAAAAGGAAACCTCTTATCTATTTGAGAATTCAATATACCTTTGGAAACAAAAGAAAATGAAATCAGCAACCGTAGGTCTCAAAGCAACACTGATTTTAATAATGTAAACTTCCTTCTCTAATGAGCAATAAGCAGTTCCATCTTTCACGGCCTTTTAAAATTGCTTTTAGTAAGGGGCTGGATTGTTTTAATCCTTTTCAGTATGTAAAGCCCCAGATATTTCAATCCCTTAGGGCCTCACTTATTTCGTAGCTCCCTTCCTTTGAAAAGGCAGAGAAAACAGCTTTCAGAAACTGACAGAATCTGTGACTGATAAAATTTAGGTGTTTTGTTTTTTTTTTTTTATCCTGAAAGTGACCCAAAAGTGTCAGTTAAGAAAAAGATCTCTGGCATCCCACCCTGTGGATTAGTAGCAAACAGGCATATCATCTAGGTACAGTAGCTCTTTGTACTCTGACCTACTTGTTTCTGTTCTGGTTTGTTCCTTCTTGAAAGGTTATTTGGAAGAGATGCAGAATTTGCTCCATAAACAGCTAAAGCAGTATCACCTGCCCCAGGAAGGGTTTCCTTTTGAAATGGGCCCTGGCACAATGGGGTTGCCAACACCCAAAACGTTCTGCTCTGCTGCATAATCAGAATGAAAACCCAACAAATCAGATCGTTTTTTCTAGAGGATGCTTTTCCCAAGGAAGGGCTAAGAGAGCTTTTTCTGGGATCAGGCTGGTTTTTGTGGGGTGTGCTACTGAATTCACCTCAATCACATGATTTTCACATGGTCAGTAATTAATTGTCCCTGTTGTCCTGTATCCACCAAGCACTGCTGCTGCTGCACTGTGTGTGTGCATAGCAGTTAACTGAGCTGTGTTTTCTTTTTCCTTAGATATTTCCAGAAAGTGCCTCAAGGAAGCTTCCTTATGTAGAAAAACCCCACAAGAAGCACAGTGTGCGCTTCCTGGCAACTTGTGAAGCAAAGCTGTCACAATGGCAGAAAACAAGGACAGCAGTGCGAAAAACGCGGATGTGAGGCCCAAAAGCAGCCGGAGCAGAAGTGCAGACAGAAAGGATGGATATGTCTGGAGTGGGAAGAAACTCTCCTGGTCCAAGAAAAGTGAGCACTGTCCTGATGTTGAAACAGCAAATGCTGCAGGAAGGTCAGGGACTAATTTAAGGAGCCAAGAGAGGAAGTACAGCTGCTCATCCATCGAGCTGGATCTAGACCGGTCCTGTGGCCACAGGTTTTTGGGCCGGTCTCTCAAACAGAAGCTGCAGGATGCTGTGGGTCAGTGCTTTCCCATAAAGAACTGCAGCAGCCGGCACGCCTCCAGTCTGCCATCCAAAAGGAAAATCCATATCAGCGAGCTGATGCTGGATAAGTGTCCTTTCCCTCCGCGCTCGGAGCTGGCTTTCCGGTGGCACTTGATCAAAAGGCACACGGCCCCTGTAAGTCCAAAGGCAGAAGAGTGGATAATTGCTGATTTATCCCAGCACGAGGAAAGGGAGGATCAGCTGCGAGACGAGGACGTTGCCAACGGGGGAATGGACTCTCCCTCCCCATCCTGTGACTTCACGGACAGCAGTTCCTCTCGGGGTGAGCCGAGGCCTGAGCTGGTGACAGGTAAGGTGGCAAGGAGCAGTAGAGATGAGAGCGACATGGACTCCGATGATGAAGTCATAACTCTGTGCACAAGTTCTCGAAAACGAAACAAGCCCAAGTGGGAAACGGATGACGAGCTGCTACGGATGGAAACGCCCCCGAAATACCACACCCAGATCGATTATGTCCACTGCCTAGTGCCAGACCTCCTCCAGATCAACAACAATCCCTGCTACTGGGGAGTCATGGATAAATACGCAGCTGAGGCGCTTCTGGAAGGAAAGCCAGAGGGAACGTTTCTGTTGAGAGACTCTGCCCAGGAGGACTATTTGTTCTCCGTGAGCTTCAGGCGCTACAGTCGCTCCCTCCACGCCCGGATAGAGCAGTGGAATCACAACTTCAGCTTTGATGCCCATGATCCCTGTGTCTTCCATTCTCCTGACATCACAGGACTCCTAGAACACTACAAAGATCCGAGTTCCTGTATGTTCTTTGAACCACTTTTATCCACTCCCCTGAACAGGACCTTTCCCTTCTCTCTCCAGCATATATGTAGAACGGTCATTTGCAACTGTACAACTTACGATGGTATCGATGCACTTCCCATTCCTCCCTCGGTGAAGCTGTATCTGAAGGAATATCATTATAAGTCAAAAGTTAGAGTGCTCAGGATTGATGTACCAGAGCAGCAAAGCTAGAAAATATTTTTGTGAAAGAAATTTTCTCTGAACAGACAATAGTATGTTCAATCTCTTTTCCTTCTAGGTTTTTTGGGATTTTTTTTAATAGCAACTTATTTTTTTCCTTTTTCTGCATATTATTTACCACCCAAACTAGTCTCTGTTTAAATGTACTTTTGAGTCTTCACAGCTCTCTTTTTTAGAAATTATATTCATTGTGGGCTTTTGGAACAGTCCCTAGGTTAGAGTTTTACGGAATTCCAGGTAGGCTTTCTGGTATTTCTATAGATGGATAGTCGTTAGATCTAAAACCCCCTGAAAATCAGTTTTGAACTTGATCTGTCTTTTCTATTGTAGTTGACACGTGTTGCTGACATGATTTAAATAATTCACTGTTAACTAAAGATTGACTCATCTGTATTTTCTGCATTTCTTTTAAAATGAGTGCTCTAGCTTGTGTGTGTGTGTGTGTCTGTCCATCCCTATCCACTGCAGTAAATTTGTCAGTCTATTTCTAACATTACTATTCCAAGCAAAATGAAGTTTGAAAGAGGATATGATCTTTCTATAAATATATCAGGGGACTAAATACCAGGGAGAGGAAAAACAATTCAAGTAAAGGACAACACTCAGTGCAGGAACAAACATGTATAAACTGGTCCTGAAAAGATTTTGGTTGGAGAGGAGGAAGACTCATCGTCGTCAGAGCAGCAGGGCTCTGGAAGAGCTTTTCATTTTGTATAATAGCAGTAAAAATCAAACTGCTCATAAACTGGGATTTGATCAGTGTCTGGAAGAGATAATCTTGTAGTTACTTATGATAGATGGGACTTGGACTTGGGAGCTCTGTTTCTGTGTTACTCTTGCATTATATGAAATACCCAGTTTTTGCTGTAGGAGCTGCCACTGCTTAAATGATAAAGCACAGGGTAAGAGAGTGGGAAGGAAGATATTTCCTTAAAAATCTGCATATTTAACGATTTGATTCTGCATGGTTGAGCCTGAGGTGGTGGTGAATAACTTTCCTACTTTGTTAGTGGGGGGGTTGGTTTTTTTAATAAGTATAGTTAAAAAAGAAAACAAGTCTGGTGATTTTTCTTGCAATGTGAAGCATTCAGTCAAATGGCTTCCTGCCAAATTCCATGTACGGGAAAACCATGCATGGATAATGCTCCTAAAAGCATTACTTACATTGCATGGATAGGCAGATCTGCTGCTGAGTCGTTGGTGGAATCCCACGAGACTCAGTGGATGTAGGTTCAGGCAGGAAACTCCAGGCTGGCCTCGGGGTGCAGCTCCAGGAGGTGCAGCAGTGACCTGCGGTTCTGTTCCCTCTATGTGCTTTATCTCCTCTCCATAACTTCACCCTGAACTCCTCTGCCAAAAGAATGTGAGATGGTGTAATTGTAACTCCAATGAGCACATTGTTTCCTCTCCTTTGACCACAGGGAGCTTTTGTATCCTCTCAAAATACTTTTGAAATTGAGCCCCAAGCCTGCCGAATTACAAATGTGTTTAATTTCATGCATGTGAAGGATCCTATCAAAAAATCAGCAATGACCTGTGGGTGAGGTTATCACTGAATGGTTGGGGTTGGAAGGGAGCTCTGGAGAGGATCTCATCCAAGCCCCCTGCTCAAGCATAGGATCACATCCAGGTGGGTTTTGAACATCTCCAAAGCAGGAGACTCCACAACCTCTCTGTGCAGCCTGTTCTAGGTCTCCGTCACCTGCACACTAAAGAGGTTTTTCCTCATGTTCAGATGGAACTTCCTGTGTTTCAGTGTGTGCCTGTTGTTCCATGTCCTGTCTCAGGGTACTGCTGGAAGAAGTCTGTTCCCATCCTCCTGACACCTGCCCTTAAGGTATTTGTATGGATTGATTGGTTCCCTCCCAGCTGTCACTTCTCCAGAGTTGAGGCCCAGCTCCCTCAGCCTTTCCTCATAGGAGAGAGAGATGATCCAGTCCCCTCACCACCCTCACAGCCCTTCCACTGGCCCACTCCAGTAATTCCTTGCATTTCTTGTACAGCAGCCCAGAACTGGACACAGCAGTCCCAGCTGAGCCCTCACCAGGGCTGAGGAGAGGGGCAGGATCACCTCCCTTGACCTGCTGGCCACACTTTCCCTCAGGCAGCTGAGGATACCATTGGCCTTCTTGGCCACAAGGACACAGTGCTGGCTCACCATGGGGTTATTCTTCCCCAGGATAGGGGCACCCTGCTTGAACTTCCTTAGGTTCCTCCCTGCCCATCTCTCCAGCCTGTTCCGGGTCTGGCTGAGTGTCAGCACAGCCTGGTGGTGTGTCAGCCACTCCTCCTAGTTCTGTGTCACCAGCAAACCTGCTGAGGGAACACTCGGTCCCTTCATCCAGGGTGGTGAATAAGCTGAACAAGACTGGACCCATCACTGATCCCTTGGGAATCTGTCTGCAGGCAAGGAACAGTTGAGCACAGTGCTGTAGAGTCTGGCTGCAAGATTGTAGACTCAGACTAAGCAATACTTCTGTTTGAATCTTTTTATTTCACCTCGTACAGACTCCTACAGATTTGTGGACATCAAATACGTCCTTCAAGGTGGCTGCTCAGGACTTACCAAGGGAGTTTTGCCATGCAACTCCACCAGGACCTTCCACCCTGCCCTTACCCCCAGCCTGAGCAGATAAAACCCTTTCCACTGAGCTGCTGCCACTGTGATGATGTAAACAGATTTCCAGGGACATCTGCCTAGAGACCAGCCCGTTTGTTTTCACTGGGTTTTAAATAGGTTTGGAACCAAAGTCTCCAGGGAGAAAATGCTAACACATCAATCCATGGCATCGCACATGGATGAACGCTCTCCGGGACGAATTCTCAGCTGCTATAAATCAGTGTGGATTTATTGATACACTTATAGTGGCTTATCCCAGCTGAGATCCTCCCTCCTCCATATCCTAATGGAACTGTGGGACTGATGTCAGAAAAATGACCCTGTTTTTTTCTGTAATTTTTATCTTGTGCTGCTTCCATTCGTTGTCTTTTGCATAAACTGTATTTTATCAAGGGCAGCTTTATTGCTAAGTCTATTCTACCCTGTCACTGCCATTTTCCAGACACAACGTAGGGATCGTCATTGCTCTGCTCTTGTCCACTGTGCCCATCCCAATGGGATGGTGGGTTGGGATTTGGGTGGCTGCAGTATGAAGGAAGAGCTTCTGGTTCAAGATCTGGAGTGACACCAAAGATATGTGCAGTCTGCTTGATTAAAATTCTCTCTTAGAAACTCCTAATTAGGGCAAAAACCTCATACTTTTAGATAGGGAGTAGCATTATTTTTATGGCAGGACCACAACAATTAGATTTTGACCAAAAGTTGTGCTTCAGAAGTTGGTGAAGGCCGCCACCATTTTCAATATCAGCAAAGATTTTGTCCCTTCAAAATTAAAGGCCAGGAGAGAACCTTTTTTGGGGTATCATTCCCCAAAACACTGCATTTCAGTGTCACTTTGGATGCAGCCTACATTGTTTTGACATGAGTTGATGCAACACTTACCCCAAAAAACATCTTGAGCACTCCAAATTTAGGAGACCTATATAATACAGCAGTTGGGGGGAAAAAGGTGTGACACATAAAAATACTGCCTTTGGACTGTGGAATCAGTTAATTGCATTAGTTTAGAGAAATCATATGTGGAAAGTATTGATGAATGATATTTTGTGAAAGTTCCTGCTATTTTTTCCTGATTTTTGTCCACCTGTGTGACATTTGTCCCTAATAACACTGAGTCGTGTCACACATGCAGTCTGTGCAAGATCCATGGCATGAACTGTGCATGTTTTATGAAACAGAAGAATTCAAAAGGTCTATTTTGTTTAAATCCATTTACCATTTTTTCCTCTTCTTTCCCTCTATATTTTAAATAAACCTGGTAGGACTGGTTTTACAATATGCCAAGAACTGTCATCCTGAAGTTCTCCTCCCACTGCTGTCATTATCAGTCCTATCAGTGCTGCTCGTTCCAGTACCACCTTAGTACACCTTGACCCAAAGACAAGCAAGTGGAATTCCATTTTGAAACCCTCTTAAAAATTAGCCTCAAAAACAGGGTAAAAACTGCCATTTTCTAAAATCACAGAATCCCAGAGTGGTTTGGGTTGGAAGGGACCTTACAGATCAGGCAGTTCCACACCCTGCCATGGGCAGGGACACTTTCCACTACCCCAGGTTGCTCCAAGCTCCACCCAACCTGGCCTTGAACACTTCCCAGGATGAAGAGTCCACAGCCTCTCTTCTCAGCCCAAATCCTGCCAAGACAGAAATCGCCCATTCTTCAGGATGAAGATTTAAAGTGGAACAAGGAAAGGTGCAGAGATGTGCCAAAACCCACGTGTTCAAGATGCAGCAGGCCAGTGGCTGAGCAAGGTCAAAAATCCAGAGGTGACTCTGGCCACAGCTCCCCCGTTTTGGGGCACCAAACCAGATTTGCATCAGGAATTGTGTCTGCAATATGTGCTTTGAATTGTTTTGAAGGTTGTCCCATAGCAGCACAGTGGAAACAGAGTGTATTGAATTGGTGTGAACAGCTTCTGGTTAAAAAAAGATCTGATTTTCATAAATTATTTTGATATAAGGGAGGAAAAAATGGTCAGGTTCTTGATGCACGCTGGGCCAACTACATATACAAGTTATTTTTATGGGATGGTTTAGAAAAAAATTAAACACTCTTTCCATTAATTGTGTCCTCTGGAGTTTGCTTTTGCCTGGAATGACTTTTTGCAGGTTTGTAACAATGTCATTTGTTGACCTGGGGCCATTGATACAGAGCGACTTCAGCTCCAGCAGAATCATTGATGGGCTTGGGGTAGTTGGTGTGTCTGATAATTGGAAATACGTATTTCTTCTCAATTTTCCTGTTCTCAGCATTTGTCTTGATTAAATCCAGGCTGTTTTTGGAGTAGGATATGTATATATATAGCAGTACATCCAACTTTAAAAAAACAAACAAACCAACAAATTATCATGATTTAAATGCTTTCCTTTTAAAGATGCAGGTGGGCTTCCAGTGTAAAAAAGAAATCCTTGTATGGTGCAGTCATACAGGGCCTTACTATAAAATTGACATGCTCTTAAATAATTAAAAACGGGGATACTTTAATTTTGAAAAAGGATGCTGGAGGAAGGAGGTTAAAGGAAGCTTTTAGTCAGATCCAAGGTTAGATTTATTGATCTAGTGATCAATCCTTTTCTCTTTCCTGAATTTAAAGCTAATGGGACACTGTGGTCAGAGATGAGTGGCTTTTAGTTAAGGTTTTTGACTCTTATAAATAATACAACAAATGTCCTAATAAGTAATAAGAAATAAGATACTCGCTCATTCTTTTTAAATAGAACAAACGTGGCAAACAAGACTCAGCTGTAATTTTTGAAGTCATTTATTAGACAAATTGCTCTTCTCTACTTCTTTTACAAGAGAGACA